TGCTTCATCCTGTGTTCTTCGGGTAACAAATCAGCTGTTTTGTGTGTCCTCTGGGAGGTTTACTTTTGGAAAACTTTCCTCTAGGAGATCCAACAGCCAACTGGTTTTCTATTTTATTTTATAATACAGGATTAGTTGACATTGGAGAGACATCACTGTACCCAGAAAATCTGCCTCCTGAAAAGATTCTGGAGCTGGAAAACAAAGCTGTCCTCAGTAATCTTGAACAGAAATACTTGACTGTTGTTTCAAATCCAAGATGGCTCCTGGAACCGATTCCTGCCAGAGGGGGAAGAGGTGTGTGGCAGGTAGACATCCCCGAAGAACTGATCCCTGCAGAAGCGTAGGTGTTGCCCCTCACTATTCTTTTTCCTGCCTAAATGCAAGCTTGTAATTCATAAGTCAGCATCTTAAATACCAGGGAGTTGTTCAGGATTCCCTTCCAAATCTAATTGTTTGAAATAGCAAATACATTGGAAGAACTGCTCTTTGGAGGCAAAAGAAACAAGGTGTAATTTTGATGGTCATTGCTGGAAATTGTTAATGGTTTACTCTATTTGTCCTAGATAAATAACTCTAAGTAAATGCGATTGTTTTAAAGATATGGTTGATGTATTGTGTGCCAATTTAAAATGTGAGTAAATACCACCTTATTACATGATGCAGGCATCTCTGATTATATGAGGAAGACAGAGTTTGTAGGACTCTTCAGAAAAATGGTGCTTGAAAGCAGGCTGCCGTGAGCTGGTGCGAAGCTGGTGAAGGGGGCTTGAAAGTAAAGTTGCCAGGGGAGGGGCAGCTCAGTCCATCCCACTGCTACCAGTTTGATGTCAGTCCCAGCAATAGACGCCCAGAGAAGGATCACAGGTCAGCAGGAGAGCACCTGAAAAGCAGCACAAAGGAACCCCAGCCAGTAAGTCAGCTTCATCAGGTGCCCAACTTAAGTGTCTCGACGCAAACGCATGCAGCTTGGGGAGTAAGCAAGAGGGGGCCTACAAGCAGGCTAGAGAGGGACTTTTTACAAGGGCCTGTAGTGATAGGACAAGGGATAATGGCTTTAAACTGAAAGAGGGTAGATTTAGGTTACATATAAGGAAGAAATTCTCCACCATGAAGGTGGTGAGGCACTGGCAGAGGTTGCCCAGAGAAGCTGTGGCTGCCCCCTCCCTGGCAGTGTTCAAGGCCAGGTTGGATGGGACTTTGAGCAACCTGGTCTGGTGGAAGGTGTCCCTGCCTCTGGCAGGGGGGTTGGAACTAGCTGGTCTGTGAGGTCCCTTCCAACCCAAACCAGCCTAAGGTTCTATGATCAGTAATATGACATCTGCCTCCCAGCCCAGTCCTAACCTTACATTTGTGGACTCATTGAGAAAGAAATCCTGAGAGAAAGCCAGTCCTAGGGTAGAGATTTGCTGGACGAGGTTTCTGTGCATGATGTTGTATTATGGGCTGTAAATGTAAAACTTCCAGTAAGGACCAGATTTTCCTCATTCACAGGTTAGGTACATTAGAGATGCATATGATGGGGGATGGCAGTCCACAGCATGTGGCTCTGTGACCTGACAGCCTTTCTAGAAAGGCTTTTATTGGAAAGAAGCTGTGCTTGTACAAGAGTAAATGAAGAGAGTATTATAATAGTTCTTTCTCTCATTCAAGATGAAAACTACTAGTAAGCTTTGGAAAAATCTAATATTGAATTAAAGACAATGTGAAAAGTTACAAATACAAGTCACTACATTTGGCCCTTCTAGAGTTTTTCAACATTCACATCCTGCATTACAGTGAAAATCCTTCTGACCTGGAGCAAGGCCTAAGGCCAGGCACGGCTATAAAAACAGGACAACAGGCAGAGGCTTTGCATTCAGAGTTTATTGGAACACTTTGGAGACTCTATTCCTTTGGCCTATGCAACTTCTAGAAGAGCTGTGGAAGGTACCTAGTGTGCCCCAGGCTGCGGTCCAAGGCCACAGCCTGCAGGGCCGCTGTTTGGGCCTCAAGTGCCAGTCAGGGGGTGGCAGCAGGGTGGCCTTAGGCCCCAGGGGGGCCGGGGGATAGAGAGAGCAGCAGCTGCCACCGGTGGAGCTGGAGAGGTGGGGGGTGCCAGCCCTGGTGGAAAGGGGCTGTTGGACAGGGCTGATATGGAGGCTCCTCTGCCCCGGCCCGGCACTTCGCAGCTGGGGTCTTCCTGGGCGCAGAGCTGTGCATGTTTTCCCTCGGGCCGGCTGCAAAGGGGCCACTCTCCTCCTCAGAACTGGCTTTCTAACCAAGCTCAACATTTGGTTTTCTTTTCCAGCGGCGTGCATGCAAATCTACGTCTGGTGAAAATCCTGCTGGTGGTTGATTTTTCAGACCAAAGCTTTGCATATACTTCATCAGTGTATACGAAAAATGTCTTCTAAAATTCGGGTTGTAGTAGAAGTGAACCTAAAAAATGCAAAGGCGAAGAGTTAGTTGCCACCATGTGAGACTGGAAACCACAAAGATACAAGAACTAAGAATTTTAATTGCAAAAGAGAAATGTGGATATTAAAAAGGACTCTCAGGGGTGTTCTAAACCTGAAGTTTAAGCTGAATAAAGTTATGCAATAGACTACTGTTAAGTAGTTGTGCTTTTGCCACTTGGTAGCAGAGAAGCATAGGATTTTCAAAAGCATACAAACTGACTTAGAAACCTAAATACCATTACTTTTCAGCAACTTTAGCGTGGAATGAACATGGAGGTAACTATATGATGCTGACACACACCTTCTCAGCCCTTGGTAAACGCCACAAGAAGACTTCACATCTGGTACAGCAAGACGCATAGAAAAGACCCCTCCTCCCAAAAAATGGCGATACAAGGAGAATCTCTTTTCATTTTAAATGTTCACAGTAATTGGAAATAACCAACGTATATTTTATCAGCATTTTTATTCCTCAGAAGTGCTACCTCAAAAACTCCTGAACACGAGCCGAGGAACAAGTGACAATCAGAACATTTACTACCATCCTTATCTCCTATGTAGTAAAGGCTTATTTCATTGGAACAGAAATCTGTCCCACTAGAATATTCTGGGCATTAGTTTTCACGTAGAGGATCCAACATACCTCCATAGCGGTTTCTCCCGCTAGCAAGTCATTGTGTGAGCCCGATTTTGGAAAATGCCCCAGCTTTATGGTGAATCCGCACAGATGGAGTTGACAGGTGAAGCTTTTCATGCTCTCATTTTCAATAATTCTCAGATGTCCTCTCCTTGCTAGTACCTCCTCTTCGAACAATTCTTCGTGAATCAGAACACACTTTCTGTTGTCCCCCCAGCAAATGGACTCAAACCGATCGCTTTCAACAATGTCCCAGAGCTTCTTCAGAAAGCTGAGGCACGTAGAGACACTGCCTTTGCTCGAGCTCTCCTCAGATGAATTCCGATGCTCTCTTTTTGACCAGGGTTGCTGAGTTGAAGGTCGTAAAGACCTTTCTTGTTTTGGAGGTCCAAAGGCAGCATCCCTAGCTGCTCTTTTGCCACATGCTGGACAGAGAGAAGTCGAGCCTGACAAATCATGTCCCTTGTCCAGAATAGAATCACGTGGAGTTTCCAATGAGGAAAGCTCCACTTTAAGTTCTTTTTCCTCAGTTTGAGTAAATTTGTCAGCGGCAGCCATTTACCTTAGCAGCTAGGCTCCCCCGCCAGAGAGCCAGCTCTAAGGAAGTGACCAACTGACTGAGAATCCCAATGGAAGATTCTCAAACACTGCCATGACACCCATGTTGCACTGCTGTGACATCACGGCACTGCGTCCGTTTCCTAGCAACATGAAGCAGCAGCAGCAAGTGCTAAATAGCACTTTTTGCTTTTCGTTTACAGATTCCACACACCCCCCTCAACTTGAGAGCCAAAAAGCAAATAAAACTGCAATGAAATTTCAAGTGGTGATAGGACAGTGCTGTGTTGGGTTTCAGCTAGCAGCTGGTCCACAGGGAGGAAGTGGCAAGTCTGCACTGTTAGGAATGAAAGCACCACATTTCTGAAGTTTTTCAGGTGCACACCTTTCACACATGCCAAAATGTCCTCACACTCATTGCTCTTACCTCATCTAACACTAAGGAAACATGATCTGTAGCATTTAAGCTACCTAAACTGTGGGTTCACCTAAACACAAGAAGCAGCTGCAAGGACGTGGGAGTATCTGACATGGTGCAACATGAAAAGAAAATGCTATTCCAACACCAATGAGTTCCTATCTTGACAAGTTTAATCATTTACACCAACACAAAGTTGGTAATGAAGAACCAAACTACGGTATTTATACCAGCTCACTGACAGCTGTAAAACCTACAACTAATGTTTCTGGCAGAAACTGCACAGACAAGAGGGAACAGCCAGTCTCATGGGAGAGTGGTGTACACACTGCTCAGGAAGAACTGAAATGGGAAAAGCAGCAGAAGCAATATTTAACTCCCAAGCCAGTGCAAAAGTTGAAATACTGACATGAAAATTTACATAGCTAACTCAAAAACATCATGTAAGTTGCTATACATTCTATTGCCCCCTCCCAAAAGCCTTCCACTGTTGCCCGAGAAGTGCAACACTCCTGTGCCTCTGTGGTTAAGACAATGATTGTGGCTGCACAGAAAAAGAAGGAAGAGGTGCTATACTAAGGCATCCCCCAAAAAAGTATTTAAATCAGACATGGAAATCAGGTGTATATTTAGGACCTACAAGACACCTGGAATAGCATAGGCATTTCATACAGGGTTTTTAAAAAAATACTTTTAGATAATACTTACACTGTACACAACAAGACTTTTAGACAATATATTACACTGCTAAAATGTTCATATAAATACTATACAGGCAAGCGTGCAACCAACCCATTAGGAAGGTTCACAAATTAGACCACCACATATCTCTGGAAAAGCTCTCAGATTATCTTCAAGAACTCTGATTTGTGTAATCCAAGCCACTGATTCAGCAATACCTATTATAAAGTAAATGGGAGAAGGCATGAGATGAAATACATTTGTCTGCTGATTCCCAGTTCAAGTTTAACATGCTACTGTCATCTTAATCTGGCATATCGATGTTTAACTTAGGAGGTGGAATCACGTATTTTCCAGGACTCTGTGTAATGACCACTCCAGTCTTTTTTCGAAACATTGGTGCAATTTTTGGTGGTTCAGGCAGTGGCGTTTCTTCCGTTTCCTCATTATCTTCATGATGAAGATCATAAGAAATATTTCCATATTCTCGTAAGAATGGGAAAATTTCAAGCAGGAACTGGCAAAAGTCTTTGCGAATTCCAAACCACCCTAAAAAAAAAAAATCATTTCACATTATTGTAGAACAGAATGAAAATTTAATGAAGTCAGCAGACGACGCAATCTTGTTTAAGTTCTCTTGATTGTTTGCATATGAACAACGTAAAAATTGTTAGTGCTGCTTCCGAGCATGTTACTTACACATATCATCATAGGAACATTACAGTTCAGATTATATGCACACAGCTACACATCCAGAATATAGACATGCATTGGCATGCCTCTGCATGTCTGCACATGTATGTCTGTGTATGTATATCCATACATAGAAATTACAGCTATACAGCAAGATTCCATTTCATTTCTTATACAGTGTCAGGTCACATCAGCACACAGAGAAACAACACAAAAGACTCTGCATCTCCATCAAAGCAATAAGTGCCACAGGGGAAGACATTCATGCCAACTTCTGTTAGACACATATAGGTTACAATACCAGAGGGAATGTGATGGCATAGGCAGACACAGATTAGTAAATGTATGTATTCAGTATTCCCCAAACACTTTTGTTGTTAGCCGAATATGATGTGATAACTGGAGTATCTCATCCTTGGTATTACCTGTGCTAGATTAGAAAAACCATCCATATTCTGTGTTTGTCATGTATTTTGCTATATGCACAGACTTGGAAAGAGAGCATTTAAGTGGCACTTGTACTTCAGCAGATTGCACTCCTCTGTTAACCAATACCAAGGGGCAGTGTTAAAAGGAACAGCCTGCCCAAGTCAAATCTCTCGCACTGAACGAAAGCAAGGTGTCCAGCATCTGCCAGGGAAGATCCCGTACAACCCATCCTTTTGCAGAGATTGTACGTCATGGCCAACTGGGGTATTTCCCTTTAGCACTTTGAAGGCAGATTTTCATACAAGTCTTCCGAGGCTCACTTCAGGTGAATAGTCTTTTTAAAAAAATTTACATAAATATTTATTAACCCTATGAAGACATGTGGCTTTCCAAAAGACTAATTTGGCCATAAATTATTGAGAGCATGCATTTAAAATAAAATCACCAGTAACAATTTTCCACAGAATATAAAAGTAAACTAAATGTATGGAGATAAGCTTAGTCATGACTAAAGAAAGACATTCTCAATATACTTCACAATCAGACCAAAAGTGAGGTGAGTTTATATAACAAACATCAGAGCTGGTTCCTTTCAACTCTGAAAAAGCCTACTAAATTTTATTGCCTTTTTAACAAGCAACATGAACTGCAACGTGGATGGAAAGAGCTACTCATCTGCACTGGTTCAGTATTAGATGGCTGAAAGTACAAATGCTTCTTTTGGCCGTGTGAGTTGTTGTGGCAATAAAAGCCTAGTAAACCTATACTGGCCCCTCAAGCAACTGGAGTTACAGCTAAGCACCACAGAGTGCTGTTTGGCCAAGAGGAAAGAGAATACTAGTTCAGGCTACCAGGACGAATGCTCATTAAAAATGGGAGGTGCCACGCTATTTTCAGAACCCAGAGTAAAAAGATCCAGTCGCATCCCGTGAGAATGAAACCCATGGAAATAAGGAAGGATAAAAGGCTAAGTCGCAATTAAAGTCCCATTGAGATTTCAAGCTGAGTCCAAGCCGAAGTTAGCCTCTTACAGGAATACAAAAAAAGCACAAGCGAGACTATAAACAGTGAAAACTTACTATAAGCACCTGGAAACAATAGTAACTGACACATCTGAATTCTTTCATGAGAGAATATACACAAAAAAGCCCTTTTTGAAAACCCAAGTCTTAATGAAATACATTTAAGCCTGGAGTTCCAAGCTGTTTCCATGATTTTTTTAAATACTTACAGTGATTCCCTCCTTTTTGTCCAAATGTTGTTGCCATTAAAGTTATCAGTGAAAGCCAGAGAGGAACAAATATGGGTATAAAAGAAAAAGAATTATGCCCATCCAGTCTGTGTACTAGTAAGATCTAAAAGGCAAAAAAATTAGTGTCAGTTTAATTGCAATACCCAATTTCAAGCTTCTTAAAACATATGCTCATCTCAGATCCTTCACACAACTGTGAAGAAAAACGTCCTCCACAGAAACATGTAGTTACACTTCCAATATAATGCATATTTTATTCAAAAAAATCTAAAGAAACAGAGAATTCTTAGTTTTCTTTCATATTTACTGTTAATATTTTATTCCAAAACAAAAAGCAGTATTCTCATTTTAGCAAGTTCAAAAAGAGACACTGCAACACTCATCACTCACTGAAAAAAGATAGGGAAAAGCGTAACAAGTTTTATCTACCTCAAATGTGAGCAGTGGAACTACAATTGTCATCCAGCTGACAGCCATTGTTATGTGCGTCCTCCTCTGCTCAGCAATCACATCCATAGAGCGCAAGAATAGAACAGACCACACAATGTAATAGAGCACTACTAGACACAGAAAGGACATCAAGATCCACAGTGGAACACAAACAACCTGAAAGAGAAAGAAATTAACTGCTTTTCCACCCCCCCAACAGTGATACATTTTTATCAGTTTGATTTGTTTCAGGTGAGGGATTAAAAAAAAGCAAGTCTACATATTAAGTCTAACATTTCTTTTTCTTGGTAGTCTAATGCTCTTTAATATATATTAATCTCTAACAGAAAGGCATCACAGATTGCGGGCCCTATTATAAGCCGTATCAGCTCTTGGTGTTCCTCAGTCAGCTTTGTAAACTCCATCCAGCTGCAACAATTTAAAATTAAGTCAATGTAGTTCAATTTTAATAAGACTTCTGTGATTTTATGTGGGCTCAAACAGTACTTGAAACTGATTTTAGCAAGTATTTTCTAAACTGGATACCTTACTTGAAACACTTTCTAAATTAGATCCTTTTCCTGATTTTTTTGAAAATAGGACGGTCATAATCATGCCAGATTATCAGTTCTATGGTAGTTTACAAAAACACACACAGAAACAGCACTTCTGTATTCTAAAGGCACTTGGGACAGGAGACCTCAGCAGTTTTGACAGTGTCCACTTGCACAATAAGTGGATTCACATGCATGGTAATACAACAAATAGAACAAGTTATTCACCACACTGTTTACCAACACATTCCCTAACTCACCAATCATTTTCATGGCTAGTTTAGTGTTCCCACTGGCAACTTTTGGTTACGATTTCTCTTTCAACAACTGATCAGAGATTAACAGCAGTTGATGGCAACGTCCCTCTCCCCCACAGGATGAAATGCCCACAGAACAGCCTCTGTTTCCCATGACCACTGAACGAAATGCCAGACCTTCAGCGAAGGATTGTTAACCGAGCAAAAATGTGATCGTGGACTCTGATCACACATTAACTGTTCCCCATAGTAAATTATCTGTATGAAATTCAGCATTTAAACAAGGGTAAGAAGAAAACACTTGTTACATACAAGCCACGGCCATCTGATGATCTCGTCTAGTCTGAGTGCAATAAATATGAACTGTAGAATATTGACTGAACACAAGATTTCCAGCTAGAAAAAGAAAATATGTTAGTTAACTCTTAGCACGAGAAAGCTATTTCCAAGATAACCAAAGAATCTGTCAAAGGACTTTTCTGACTCCATGCTTATCACTGCAATATGGAACATCCTTTGCATTTACAGCAGATATTACTAAGCATCCCTAAATTTGGGAGGCTGTGATCACAACAGTGTAACTGTAGAAGCAGCTGTCTCCTGAGGAAAGCCGTTCCTGGTACTTAAAAAAAATAAAAGCGCTACCTCCAACATTTATTCCAGTGATCAGAGAAATAAGAAAAGCCAAACTAATCAGACTGAAAAAAAAGGAAAGCATTGGAAGAAATACTGCTAGAATTAATAAGTAGTAAAAAGTCCTTCAATTTTAAATTAGCAACATTTATCTTTAAAAATATTGCTTAGTGGTTACAGTAATGTAAAGATTATAGTTACATGGGTTTCACTACTAACAGTCCAGTTCAGAAGTTCCAGCTCTATCTGGGGAGGGAAAAGAAATACATAGAATAGTGGAAGATGACATCCAAATTCAGTCATTTACTGTATAATTGAATTTTTTTTTTAAATGACATTGAAGATACTTGGGATTCGAGGCAATACAGACAAGCAATTCTTCTCATTAAAAATGTTAATGAAAGCTTTTCATTTGTCCCACTTGTCACTATGAGAACTGACCCTAAATTACACTTTATTATTAAAAAAATCAAGTTTGTGTCTAGTTTGAACAAGATGAAACACCATCAGACTTGGCAAGATTCTGTTTCTAAAGTTTACGGGCAACCCTACATGGGTAGGAATTTCAAAGATCAAACAATTATCTGAAAAGTCTAACTAAAGCTCTTGAGTGCAAGTTAGAAACAGTTTCCATTTTAAAAAACAGGTAGGTATGTAAGGCATCTTTGAAACATACCATTTCTCAGAAGGCAAACACTGCATGCTACTTTTCACTAACATCTACGATTGTGTACTATGATCTCTTGGATAAACGCCTCAGAAATTCACAGTACAGGGAGTCAAAAATCCAACAGGCACTTGCCTACTTCAGAGGCCACACCGAAGTCTTCACTGTTGAAGTACAGGTTACTTTTAAGAAGACTGGAAAACTACAATTAAAATAGTTTTGTACTATTTCGTACTACACACTCAAGCATAAGACCAAGTAACCTGAAAACTGCAAGAGCAAATAGAGAGAAACATCAAAAAAAAAAAATCAGAGGATCAATTGCTATAAATAATTTTTAGAATCAAGTTAACACTTGAGCTATATATGGCAAGTGCAGGTATATGTGAGGTGGCTAGGCTCACAATTTATGCCTTAAATAAGTGGTGCTTTATTGACTGTAAAAATAGTGTCACACACAAAAGGCTTTTTCTAATGATATATAGACAAAACCCCACTATGTACTTCCTGACCACCTAACCAGTTTCAGAATAGGAACAAGCAGACAATATATTTTCAGATTAAATAATTATGAAAATAATAATAGATTAACAACTACTTGGATCACTCATGCCAAAAATTATTATCCTGGATTAAAGAGGCCCCTCTTAATGTTTCTAGCAAATGAAAAGGAAATACTGATATCTTCCCAGAGGAAAAAGAAAAGAAAGTAGAACAGCACTAAGTGAAGATGACAAAATAGTAAAAAAATTAGTTGACAGTTCAACTGTGTAACTTATTTTCCTTAAGACAGGTGTTGCCTTTTAAGGGTGAGTGGATTCTATTTTTTTCTGCCAGTACATAGCACCTGTGCAGTCCTCTGTAAATCAATGGGTAATCAAGCATCACCCAGGAGACAGCAAGTACTTCTGCACAAATTTTACTTTTAGGAATGGTTAACTGTGCATAGAACTCAGTAAAATGAAATTCTATTTACACTATTTTTAAATCAACAATTTCAGGTACCAGTTTACCAGCCATCCCAACAATCACTTACCAAAAATGTTTCTCTGTAGAAACTCAGCTTATGCTAATGTCAGAGAAATATTCCCTTGAAATTAAAAAAACTGAAAAAGCTGAACCTCATCTAAAAATCATATTTTTAATAGTCATGGCGGAAGATTCTGAGATCCTTGCAAAGTTCTTCCAAAACCAGTATGAGCGAGTTAGAGAGGAAAGAAGATAGGCATAAAACAGTAGGGTGTTATTTTCTGCCTCTACCAGCTGCATTCCCAAACTGAAGATTAAGCACACAGATTGGGATAGTAAGAAGTTTTCAGCCCTGATTATCTAGGACTCTGAAGTTCAATTCTGCCTAAGGACAATGCTTACTATCATTGGAATTTTCTTCAGTAATTTCTGGTTTAGTGTCTAGGATTAGTCCATATTGCAGACTTTGCGGTGAGTTCTTCTAAGACATAAAAAATAAAAAGACACGTTTAAACATGCTGCAGTTTGGTAGTTGAAAAGAACTAGAAGACATTATAAAAAAAAGTATTACTCCCAATCCTGATTTTTCACTCTAGCAGGTTAGTGCAAACAATTCATTCAACTGATGCAGTCATCCATATCATGCTTTACTGAGAGATGAACTGTAACCGGATTGATGCAGAATCTTGCACTGCCACAAATTTTACACATAACCAGCGAAGCATTACCTCCAGAGACCTGTCGTGTCGGAATCCCCACACACAAGCTGCAACTGACACTGGAGATACAAAGAACAACGGCATGAAGACCAGAAGCCAGAAATGGGTTCCTCTTTCGATCCTGTCACACACCAGAACTTCAAACATCAGCAGCAGCAGGTGGATCCCTACCGCAATTAACATAGCTTTGAACTCCACACAGGTTTCTCCTTCTGCTCTAAAGAGAGGAAAAGGAAGCATTCAGTTCGCTTGTCAATGGGAAAGCACACTACCCTGCAAAGATTCCAAGACACTTTATTTACAATTGTTAGGTTTCAGATATTAACACCTGTTTTTAATAAATGTACACATTATGCCCAAATAGCCACTATTAAACTACACTGCTGATGACGTAACAGGGTTCCTTGCCCATAAAGCCGCACATTTAAAATACTCAAAGCGGGCAGTGAGATTTTTACAACTTGAAAATTTTCTAAGGATTCCATAGCTGTGCAGATAAACCAGGATTTCTTTATTACTCTGTAAACACTCGGATATCATGCACGCTGATAGTAAATAAGCTAAGTCTAAAATTACCTGTTTGGTTCCTGCACCAGCTTTCACTGAATCAGCATCTTTCCCCAGAATTTCTTTATTCACCAAAATCAGCGTATTGCAACAGAATATTATCTATTACTAAACAGTAAAATGCCTGTAAAATAATAGCACACAGAGAAACCACACTTTTTCCTACACAAGTAGAACCATTACTAGAAGGAGCAAACAAGACCTGAACCACACCATATAGTGTATTAGAGTAAGACCTGCGCACAAAATTTTTAGTTTAATATTCATAGATAGAAAAGAGGATTGAATTTATTACACTTAATTTAAGGTGGTTTTTCTTTTCCCCTAGCATGTTCAAATTTGCATCCCACTCGGATTACCAAAAAAGTAAACACTGATGTATTTAAAGGCCTGAAAGTTATTTTACCCTAGACTGACAATTAAAACACCGATGTTAAACAACTTTGACAAAAATGAAAAGGAATTTACAGAATTCGTTCCCGCAAGCATCTTAATTTGCAAATGTTACACATTTACCTATAGTAGTGTATTAAACTACTTTACTGTCTCTGATAATATTGCAACGAAAGTCTGAAAAAAAAAAACCCCTCTCTGTTCAAGAATTGCTGAATATTCATCCATATGTTCACTGAGGTCATACACACACCAAGGAGAGAAAAATCAGCCCTCTTCAAGCTAATCTGTACATTTCAGGAAACTGATTTAGAAAATAATCCAGTTAAATACAGTATATTCCTAGTGCGTATGAAGACATGTATTTCTATATGGCTTATACTGAAACAAAGAATTCCCAGCGTTCTAACAGAAACATGCAAGAAGTCACTCCATGAGAAGTTTTAGCTTCCCAAAGACAATATTAATGAAGCCTGTGAAAACTGTTGCAACTAGGATTAAGATATCCATAACGGCATTAAGCTGTTTGCATACACTACAGGTTATGATAATTAGTTTCAATATATTGAAAACAAACCTTCTGGATGCTATCTCTTATGTTGTTTAGAAAACTTATTTATGAATTGAATTCAGAAGAGAAAACACATCATGTTCCCTCTGTTTTGAAAGAGAAATATTCTCAACTTACCGATACTGTGGGTTTCGGGCCCATACTCCTGTTCCCACTGAGGCACCAACAATCACCATTAACTTCCACAGCCATATGGGAGCAAACACGGCCCAGTAACTCCATTGAATTTTGTCATCCAGACGTAAAGAGAGCAACACAGAAAAAAGCAGCAGGCAGGCATAAATAAGAAATTTGCTATTAGACAAACAAAAAAACACAGAGTCAGAAATTACGGCAGGCAACTTAACGTGAACTTTGTAGAGAACAAGAAAAACAGTCATAGCTGAAATTTATTCAGGATACTTCCTAGCAGAAAACATGTGTCAAACTTCTTGACAATCAAATCAATTCTGAAGAGTTAAATATTTCATCATCAATACAGGGTATGTCATCTCTTTCACTTACAAAACCATTGCTTCAAGGGAACACATAAAAAGCATTCTTGCATGACAAACTTAATGAATGGACACCTATAAATAGTTCCCGCCCACATGGATCCGTCAGGAGCTGTATTATCAGAGGCTCAGAAATAGACCAGTTGTACATGTTTTTTAGAAAATGTGTTCTTTCATACAAATCACATGAGATAGTTTGTGACATTCAAAATTAAGTTACATAATTTATGCAATTTTATCCACAGTGTTTTTAACTAAAGATTAAAAACTATTATATACTGTAATAAGGCAGACTCCAGAGATTATTTTAATTTTTTACAGTCAGCAATATTACAGAAAAAAAACCCCAACAGGTTAAACTTAACAAAGCTACAGATTATAGAGTGAAGTTTCTAACTGGAATGCTGAGAATGGTGCTTACAAGTTAAAAATAGTTCTGTTGATGTATTTTATAAACTAGTCAACCTAAGAATGAATAAATTTATCTGCAATGCTGGAGAGCAGTGGCACAGCAAACGCTTAAGCCACCAAAAATCAGATAAAATAATTACATTCTATATGAATTCCTCATACCACAGGAACGGAAAAGGTCATCCACCCATTCACAGTGAGATAACCAACTGCTTCATAAAACATGTAATTAGGCTTCAACACCATCTCAGTGAAGTAATCATATGTATTTTAAAATATGGATAACCTAAGGAACAGCGTAAATACTTGCTCCAGAGTAAAGCAGCAATAGTAAGGAACACTACCCTTACTCTACCAGCACAACTCAAACTATCCACTTTCACTCTCATCAAATAAAAAAACATCCATTAGATCAGCACTGCCTCATTTAGATACCGAGCTGCTTTGTCTCTATTCAGAACAGGGCTGCCCCTTAATAACAAAAAGCAGTTTTGTTGTGTCAGCATCTCCTCGCATGCTCGGTGTTAACTACCTCAGGATAGGATGATGTAAAACGTGCTCGGTGTAACTACCTCAGGACAGGACGATGTAAAACAACAGTCAGTCTCCACAGCAACAGAGATCCCCCAGCTTCCTAGGCTATCCATGCTTCTCCAACATCCAATATTTGTGTAATTTGTACTTTCCCTGGCTCCTCAATCAACACAGAAGTAAAACACCATGTTGTAAAATACCAGTGCTCCAGTACTCCAATACCAGTACCAGTGCTCCCCAAGCGCAAACACCACACACCAAAACGTTCAAGATCAACTTCTCTGCACAAGTTTGCTCATTCATCGTTTAGACAGCATCCAAATAAGCTGCAAGCATTGCTCAGCAGTGACACAACTTTATCAGCTTCTGGAACTTCTGTTCCTACTTTTCCATTACTTCCAGCCACACGTATTTAAATTATTTCAACCTCTCTGCAACAATGCATTTCCTGCAGCATTGGTTACCCTTCCGTTTGCCTGAAAAACCGACTGAACACAGCTGTCTGTAACGGCAATCGTGTAAGGCCTCTTTCACAAGCAAGATTCTTCCAGGACCCTCAGTATCTCACACCACCCAGTCCCAGTTACTTGCAGGCCTTTCTTCTGTGCTCTTACAGCACCTGCTAAGCAAAATCCGTGAAATTCACCTCACCCTCTCAGCTTCTTTGAAAGTTACAGGTACCTGCGCTTGCGTGGCAAGACAGCAGAAGCCCAAGTAGCAATGACTGCCATCGTGCTAACCGTGAGAGAGCCCAGAGCGAAGAACCACAGACTCATTAAGCTTGGAAAAGACCCCCGAGATCATCAAGCCCAGCCACCAACCACCGCCAGCAACCCGTCGCCTC